TTTAATACTAATTTTAACTTGAAATTTAAAATTTCTTTCTCTCATAATTAAAGCTATTTGATTCTGCATGAAAATAAAAAGCATATTTTCTTTTGATGTCTTTTTACACTATATCTCTCTCTAAGAAAGGCTGTACAGCTTGGCAGCTTAAGATATTTGGTTATTTATAGTCTTCTCCTGCCCCCTAAAGGCCTTCATGTGTGTGTTTTACTGACACCATTTTATAATAAATATATTTTTCAGTACATTTTTTAGTACTATATGTTTATTGAAACATAATGTTCTATCTTCTAAGTGTTTTATTTTTCTATTCAACCGTGTATCTGACATCCCAAGCCAATATTTGGCCTTGCTTCAAATATTCTAAGTGATAGAACAGCCATTAGTATATTAAGTCCAAATCTTCAGAACAGCATTATACCAACCAATGTGAATTTTTCTAGGGTCCTTGGTTAAAATGAGTCCCTTGTCCTAAGAGGAAATCTACTTGTACTTGCATTTATCAAAGTCCTTTGTCAGTCATACAGACTTATCTTTGCTTTAGTCATATTCTAAGTTTGGACTTGTCAAATGCTTTGATACCATCGTTTTAATAACTATATTACTTTTTCATTGTGAGTCACTCAGTCTTGAGAGCAATAACTTTAAGAGTTTATTTGTGTCTCTAAAATCTTTACTTTTGGTATCTCGTGTGTCTGCAATGTTTTGGTAATTTTTTAAAATATGTTTTTATTGATTTCACAGAGGGAGAGGGAGAGAAAGATAGAAACATCAATGATTAAATTGATCAACTGCCTCCTGCATGCCCCCTACTGGGGATCGAGCCTGAAAACCCAGGCATGTGCCCTGACCAAGAATCCAATCATGAACTCCTGGTTCATAGGTTGATGCTCAACCACTGAGCCACACTGGCCAGGCAATGTAATTTCTTTTAACAGGAGTAACTTGTAGCACTTTTTTTGAAATATCAACATAATGAAAAGAAACCTAATACTGATTTAGAATTCTCTTTTTCATAAATTACACGTGAATCATATCATCAGTGGTTGATCTTTTATATGAAATATATTTTATATAGACCCCCACATATATCTGGTCACATCATTAAAAATTTTAGTAGGTATAAACTATGCACTTTCTGTGTCAAAATGATCTGTATCATATAGTAAGACCTGATTGCCTGCTAATACTAAAAACTTTCTATTTTATGGCAAAGTATATAAATAATTATAGGAGTTGACTGACATATATACAAATATTTCTGTACTTTACTATGTGACCAAATACGGAGTTATTGTTTTGCTCTTCCTTCATCATCCTTTACTATGTAGAGGACACACTCTATTGCCAGTGGTTTCTAAGTAGACGGTTAGAAGATGGGTTTAGCTAGAATAGATGGATGAAATCTGAGTTTGACCCAGAAGAGTTAACACTTTATTTTTTTAACATCAGTTACCTATACTAAAAATTGAACATGAACAATGATAATGAAAGATTCTGTGTTTGTGCAAGGTTTTGCAGCCTTTGCACTGCTGCACTCACCTGTCATCAATGGAAGGGGCGCTACTTTTCCCCTTGGTTTATGAGATACTTTAAGACTCTTACACAATTTAAGATGAATATTTTAGTTAATGTATTCTAGGAACATTGAAATTTTTATTTCAAGATGACAATTTATGAAGTTTCATAAAAGTTTTTTAAAATTATAATCATATATATTACTTAGGCAATTCTCATTAGGCAATGGACTAGAATTTTGGTTTCTCTAAACATACCTTTAGTCAGTCAATATGTATAGCCAGTTAATGTCAACATGAATTAGTACAAAATATGATTGTAAACAGAGCCCTGCGTGCTTTAGATAAAAGGAGAGAGAAAACAGCTCTTAAGCTGCCAAAATAAAAATGGTTTAACATTTTGCATTCTTTTCACAGGCCCAGTGCTCTTACAGCAAAGGAACTCTAAGGGGGAACTGCCCTTGGATTATGTTTTATCATCTCAAGTCAAGGAAGAACTCTTTGCTATCACAAAAATAGAAGATACAGTGGAGAACTTTCATGCACAAACAGAGAAACATTTTTACCACCAGCAACTTGAATTCGGCTCATTTTTACTTAGTAGGATGTTGTTAAATTTTTGTTCAATTTTTGATTTATCTTCAGAGTTCCTCTTAGCTTTCAAAGGGTTAACTCATCTAAATGAAATGCTTATGGCTTGTAAGAATTATAAGGAAACCACCAGTGCTCATACTGACTGGTTGTTGGATCTTTATGGTAAAAATATAAAGACTTTGCTGAAACTCCCAAATATTCTTAAGGAACTCCCTGAGAATTTAAAAGTCTGTCCTGGAGTACACACTGAGGCCTTACTTGTGACATTGGAAATGATGTGTCGGTCAGTCACAGAGTTTTCATGATGATGCCAAAAAATATGAGTCAACTTTCTAAACCTGCTCAGTTTGCTTTGTCATTTACCTGCTCATTAACATATTTTGATTTGATTTATTGACAGAATTTGCATCCTGTATGAATTTTAAAAGCACTTAAACAACTTGAACAAAACTATAGTTTAGGCTTTTCAGTCTTTTTCCAGTGTGGAATTTGACTCAAAAGTAAAAAAAAAAATAGTTTTGCTTGATATACACTACTTTCTTTCATCTTTATGATTATTTTTGTTCCAAAAGTGATATTATTTATTTATATTGTATATGTAAAAATTTTTTTAATTTAAATATTTTTTTCCAATCAAACTGTAATGTTCTCTATTCCAGGTGTTCCAGGTCTTAGAATCATGGCAAGGATATTCATGCAAATATTCACCTATAAACATGTAGTTCGCTGTTTCTTCTCTGTAGACTCTTGGACTAAAGTATCTATTTTAGTTTTGTGTGTTTCTAAAATAAACATTTCTAAAATTACAATAATTCTTTTGTTTTTTAAGTGCAGTGGATGTGCAGAGTTTAACAATATGATCCCTTGGTCTATTTTATTATATCAGTTCACATAAAAGTGTGTTTTTACTCTGTGTAACCAATACTCTATAAGTGAAAACATTCTCTTTAATAAGTTTTATTAAATATTAAGATTATAAGTGACAGCTAAGTAATAGATTTCAGATTATCTAAAATCTTAATGTACAGTATGAATTTACAGAGCAATAACATTTCAATTTGCAGTTTTTTTTCATAATAGCTATTTATTGTAAAACTAAAAGAAAGGGTGTGGATAATAGCCACTTTTGAAATTGGAGTTGCTTCACTAGTGGGAATAGTTACATTGTGATACAGCTGGAAAAGAAACATTAAAACTTACATTTAGCTTTTATGTAACTATATTCATGATCTCCCAGCAATTAATCTGCTAAAGAAACACATTTCAATTTTATCTTAGAAATAGATCTTTTAACAAAATACGAATGCTGAGTGCTTTACTATTGAGTTTATAATCTAAACTGAAAACTATATTAGTATATCAGCTCTGATTAAAATCAAAGCTTTTTTCTCTATTTTTACACATACTTATAAATATGTTAGTTCTAGTTAGCCTTCAAATGTGACATCATACAAAATTTTTTTAAATATATTGATTTCAGAGAGGAAAGGAGAGGGAGAGAGAGATAGAAACATCAATAATGAGAGAGAATCATTGATTGGCTGCCTCCTGCATGCCCCCTACTGGGTATCAAGCCAGCAACCCAGGCATGTGCCCTTGACCGGAATTGAACCTGGGACCCTTCAGTCTGCAGGCCAGTGCTTTATCCACTGAACCAAATCAGCTAGGGCTCAAATTGACATAAAGGAACATTAAAATGTTCATAGATTCCCCAGATAATAAGAACATTTTTATTCTAAAGAGTAACCACTTTATAGTCGAAGGGATCCAGAATAACATTTGCTTTGTAAACTAATATAAACTTAAAAATATAAACTTTGACATCAGACTTAGTTTTAAATCCTTGTCTAATTTCTTATTACTGGTAACTAAATTGTAAGGCAAGTTCCTTTCTTAGCTTTAGTTTCCTTACCTATCAAATGGAGATAACACCAGCTATCTTCGTTGTGAAGAATTGTTAGTGCTAACACCTGATACGGCACTAATAAAAGTTACTTCCTTTCTAGTTCTTACCTCCTTTTTTTAGTTATCATGAATTATTTAAGTGAAAAGTTATGGTTTTGCACTGCTAAGAAAAAACTTTTTAAATTTAATGTTCCAAAGAAATACTCATTTAGTTGCAATTAGTATATTTGAATTCCTAATTGCCAACTTCTACAAGCCATGATGACATGAAGTATTAAACACTCTAAGGCCATTGAGGTCTCTGTCTTTAAGAAGGTGTTGCAGCTTTGCACTTCTGCAGAAGCACAACTTGGCCCAACATAAGTTACTATGCTCGGTGGCCTAGTTAGCAATACCAATAAATGTATATGAACCTAACTAAACCTGCAATGAGAACATTCCCAATATAATTTCTTACAATTTAGAAAACGTAATTGCCTCAAATCTATCTTAGAGGTGGAGGAAGTCAAAATTTTAATAAATAAATTAAAGTTCATAGTCTTCGAATCCTGGCTTTTTAGTTAGTGGCTGAAGATAGGCTGGGTAATGCTGTTCTTCACTGTACTCTGCCAGAATTCATATCATAGTTCAATGGAATTTTTTTTTAAGGAGCCCATAAAAGCACTTATTACAATACAGTTTGAAAAAGAGATCTCTGAGCTGTTGAAATTCAGTTTTCATTATGCGTAATCCCCACAAATATTTGGAATATAAAAAATTTAAAATAGGTCCCAGAAACTCCTTAGGAAGGGTCTCTATAAAATTAGAGTTTTCTAGCTTGTTAGTTCTTATTCCCTAGGCACAATAAAGTGGTTGAAGTATATACATTTTTTGTCATATCATTAACTCCAAGATGTCTAGGAAAACATTAATCCTCATATAAATCAAGTGTGAAATTAACCACTGTCTTAAATTCTTCGTTTCTTGAACACCTGTTACTTACCAGGTGGTGTGCTTGATGGGCTGTCCACCATGAAAGGAGGAAAGCGTACAGTCCAGGAAGGTAAACTGGCCTTAAATATTGTTAGTTTTATTGTCTTCTGTATAGGCTATTGAATAAATTAATTCCAGTTTTGCACATTTCTAAAATTTACATTAATGGTGCTCTGTTTTAGCTTTTAAATGTGAATATTACAAAGGTTCAAGAGTTTAATCCTTTGATCAGTATGATTTTAGCAATTTTATTTTAGAGTGAATAGAACATAGGATATGCTTTTGCATTCTTAATGAACTAGTACTCATTCCTAGGTAAACACAAATGCATTAATGCTAGTATAGTTTATATAAATGCCAGGAAATGCTTGTTGTTTTTGTTTATGCTGTTACAGAGAATTAAATGAAATGAATATCTCCATTATTGGTGGAATGTGCAATCCGTATGACTTTACACACCTTTCCAGTTAAGTGATGAACTTGATGAGAGCCTGTCACTGTTGCTCCTTAATCAGTAGGAAGGGGTCATCTTTGAGTGACATGAGGCACTCCTTCCCTCAGGCATTTATCCTGTGGCTCCCACACCAGTCACACCTCTTTTTGACGTGCAGTTTGCAGAATTCAGAATGATAATTGTTTTTATAACAAATGTGGATTGAGTTAGAAAGGTCAGTGATGGCATCCTTGAAATTAATGGCTGCTGATGTCAAAACTGGAGAAATGCAATAGTTAACTATCAAAAAATTCACCTTGTATGTTAAAATGAATTTTGGAAGGATATATTTTGGTGGTTGCTTGCTCTGATAAAGAATTAAATATTTTTAGACTACTTAATTAATTAGAAAAAGTTGTGGTACTGTTTTATTTAGTTCCAGGCATCCATCTTTCAAGATACTACAAATCCTAAAAATACTAACAGAATATTTTTTCAGAAGAAACAAATGTAAGATATTTTGACATCATTGATTGTTAGATGTTTAGAAAAGAGTTTTCCCTCTTAAGTAAATATTTGAGAACATCCAAAACGTTTTTAATCATGTTTTCCAGTTTATAAAAGCACCAAGCAACAAAGACCCATAAACATCTTTGTTTCTTGAGACGTGAATTTATGTGAATATTTAGAGGGGGGAAAATTCTATTAAATTATTTGAAAAAGAAGCTTTTTAATAATCTCTTTGGATGTACTTATAAATTACAAATAAAACTACATTTTTTGCATATTTGATATATAAATATTTTCTAATATTTTTATATTTGAATTCAGTACTATAAGTCTTTTTTATTAGCTTAGCTATGTGCTTTTGGTTATAGATGCACTTATACTATCATTTTTAAAAAACATGAAAATCTTGAAATATAGTATATAACCCTTAGTATTAGATACAATTGACTGATTTTTTAAAATGCTGTCTTTGTACTGTTAAATATACACATATATTTTCATTTTTAAAACAAGTAAATAGTGAACTCTTCTGGCTTTCTAAACTACCTGCTGAATTATGATCAAACAGTGTAATTAGAGTAACTAGTAATCACTTATAAAAACTAAGTATATAATATTTATATTAAACTTAATATAAACATATTTCTAATAAGTATATATTATTTATATAATATTGCCTTTAACATAGACCAAAAAAGTAATAAAAGTTCCTTATTTAAACACAAGCTGTCTCCAATTAAAATTGAACTATTTCCTCCATTTTTTTTTATTATGACCCCCAAAGCTTTATAGAATGTTTAATTCAGATTTGGTAAATCTAATTTACTTCCTTTCAAAAGTATCTAAATTGGATCAAGTGAACTTTAATGCATAATGGGTGTTACACATTAATAGAGAATGGCTAACTCCTTTGGAACATATGATTTAGTTCTACCAAAGAATGGACATTTTTTAAAAATGTGCTTAGCACTTCCAGCAGGTAAATTGTACTGAACTGAAAATCTGGAGTCCAGCTTTGAATTTACACCGATTATGCTATCATTTATCTTAATAGTAGATGAACTAAAATTTCCAATGATTCTCCATTCTTCTATCTTCAAATGAAATAGTCATGTTGAATAAAATCATTAATCTTAAAGTGGTGACAGATAAAAAAGAACTTAGTTTGTTGCCAGTACTTCTCAACTTAAAGGTTAGGTCAGCAATGGTTTATGTCATGACACTGATAAATTTTTCTAGTGACCAGAATTGTTTGATTTATGATAGATTTTTGTTCCGACTTCATCCTGAAAATGTATTTTTTTAAATTTTGTATTGCTTCTCTTTTGCATCCTAGAGACAAAATTAGAGCAATAACTGAAATTTGGTAGAATTAAAATACACATTTTAAAGAGCATTTTATGAAAACTAAAAAAAATTGTAATGAAAACTGAGCAAAGGGATGAGGGGAAAGTGGGTAGGAATCATTCTGGTTTAAAGGAATTAAAAGGGTTAACATTTTTAGATGCTGTTTAATATATTGATTGAAAAGTTAGGGAAGGTATAAAATCAGATGTAAGACATATAGACAAATCTCCTAATCTCAGGAATAAATTGTGTCTTTGAAAAAATGTTAATAATGTTTAATATATCAAGGTTGAAGGTAATTCTTTTGTGGTAGGGTCTTTTAAGTGAATTTCTATAGAAAACAAAAAATAAGAAAAATACCAGTTTTAATGGTATCATCAGAAATAGGATATTTTAACTAGTAATATTCAGTCTTCTCAAGTTTAGGCAAATCGAGATTTCTCATTTTTATTTTCTCATGATTTCAGTTCTTTTACTCTTTTCAAAATACGTTTAAGCTCATACTGTCATGTTATTGGAGGAAATGGTTTTAATGGGAGGTTCAAAGTCATTTACAAAAAGTGGCTTATAAAAAAGTGGCTGAATTGGTTCCACTCAATGATATTTTTATTGACTAATTTTAGTTATTTTTTTTTTAATATATTTTATTGATTTTTTACAGAGAGGAAGGAAGAGAGATAGAGAGCCAGAAACATCGATGAGAGAGAAACATCGATCAGCCGCCTCCTGCACATCTCCCACTGGGGATGTGCCCGCAACCCAGGTACATGCCCTTGACCGGAATCGAACCTGGGACCCTTCAGTCCGCAGGCCGACGCTCTATCCACTGAGCCAAACCGGTTTTGGCATTTTAGTTATTTTTTTAAAAAGAGAAACTATTTCAATGTAATTAAAATTTTCTCTAAGTAAAATCACACAGGGGAAAGGATTGTAAGCAAATGCATTGCTAATAATGGTTGTGTTTGTGATATAATTTTGAATATTTCATTTTCACTTCCCCAAATTTCTTTGTAATGAAACTTATATTTGTTTTTAATTCCAATAGCCAATTTATTTTTGAAAGTAATGCTCCTGATATAGGTAAGAGGATCAGTCCTGAAGTTTTCTAAAGGTGTCATATTTAAACTGGCATCTACTGTATTTTTAAAATATTAAGTATATTTTAAAATATACCACTTTTCTTCAGTGTAGGATTTAATTAAACATAATATCACCAAATGCAAATCTCAAATAACACACTTATACTGTATGCCCCTCCTTTGAGAGTAAATCTGGCTTATCTTGTCACTCATATACTTGTTTAATCTTTATTGTAATTCCCTTGTAAGTATTGCCTCACGATGTTGGGTGAGTCATGACTCCTTAGTGGGATTCTTAAGTTGCTAAAGGTTGAACTTCATGCAGATGCCTTGTGGAGTCATACTTGTCTTCACTATCACCTTTTCTGACTTTAGAAGTATCCATGGAACCTCAAAATTACTTGTCCTCTGGTGGGTTGTTCTCCCCCACCCCCCGCCCCCAGACTCAACACCAAAAAGCAGTGAGACAGGAAGATTAAATGATGGCTACACTTATCAAAGGTTGTACCTTAAATGACTTTGAAAGGAGTTCGCTACTATATTATTAAATAGAGAATTTTTTTCTTGTATCATCATAGATCTGCAAAACATTCACTTTTTAACACGTTAAGCTCCCAGTCAGTCACTGGTGACTGACACTATACTTTCTGTCTGGAAGACAACACAGGCTGGGCACTTAACGTGTTAATATAGGTCTTCTTATTTATAACATCAGTGCAGGTACAAGCAGCCAGCCATCTACGGAGAAATCTGAGTCAAAGTATCTTGCTACAGTCCTCCAGAGATTCTTATTTTGCCCCTCTTTGAAGGCCAGGGAAACGGCTTCTTTTAAGGTACTGTTCTAAGTAGTACAATGAAAATATACTGTTTTAACAGTTGTTTTCTATAAATGCATTGGGTGCCTACATCATAATTACAGAATGCTGGAGAGAATATCACATCAAGGTGTTTTTGAGGGGGAGATTTTTCACCTGCTTCCCAGGAATGTATCATAGTCATAAGAGATCAAGAGATCGTGGGAAATCAAGTAACTTGGTGTGTGTTCTTTGTGTTAGCGTCAGAGTGCCACAAGAATGGATGGTGTGTACCTGGCATCCTACCCCACAAGAGTCAGTTCCCTGACTCTTGGTTATCAAGTGCTGAATGTTTTGTGATAATATCCCTCCTCCCCCCCCCCCCCAAAAAAAAAAAGTTTTTCTCTGTTATACCTGAAAATGCATTTTTTCATCCTACAAGGAAATTTATAAAGTCCTGTTCAGCAACTTCAAATAAAGTAGAACACCACTTTGGTCTGTTTTAAAACTACTCCAAGCATTCATAGTATGTGGGATTTTCCAGGTGCGTTCCCATCTGCTTCAAAAACTCTGCTATGGTTTGCTAGTTCTCTGTGTTAATCGAATCTGAAGTCTAAGAGTTCCAGGACAAAGGTAAGTGGTAGATATGCCATTATGTAAGGTTGGGTCAGAACTTGAGTGATCTACCTCCCTTATTATAAAACAAAGACAAAAATCACAAACATCCCTCGCTGTATAGTAGAAAATAGATATTTCAATCTTTATCAAATTTGACACCAATAAATTGTTTTACATGGTTCCAGTATTACATGTTAGACACAATTTTGACTTGTAATTGTCATACTCACTACTATATAAAAGGAAGAATATTTTGTGGAGATGATGTAGAGTTTAAAGTTTTCCACTTCTTTGAGTAGCTTTATTAAAAGAAGATCTCTGAACTTAGAACAAGTAACATACCTTTTTTTTCTGTGGTCCAGCTGTAACTATAATTTCTCTTCACTGTTATTGCAGGTATGTCTCCAGTAATCAAGAGACAATTAAGAGTGGTTGGGGCCAGGTGTGCACCTTTCGCTATACAGGTAGCATTTCCTCTAAACTTGTTACCATTTTGAACTCTGGTAAGATAGCATGCCTCAAGTTGACTCTTGGCATTCTGAAGCTTGTCTTTGACTAGAAAGTGGAATGAGCTTATATTATCACCTTGCCTTAGAAGCAGCAGCAGCAGCAGCCATACTCAACCAGATCTTGGTATTTCATCAGATGCATTCCTCCTGAGAAAATAAGAGGTGGTTTGAAGGTTTGCTCATTGACTTTCAGGTTGGTCATTCCTTTTCTCTTTGGGAGAATTATTTTATTTTTGCTACAACTGAAAATACTTTGGCACAGGTACTTTCATAACTATTTGTTCAGCTTGATTAAAAAAAAAGGTTTCAACTTGCAGGGGTGGGGAACATCCGACCCACAGGCCGTCTGAGGCCCTCAAAATCATTTGGTCTGGCCCTGCCAAGGTATTAGGGGTGAGTTAATTAAATGTTTGACCAAATATAGCAGGCTAATTTTTAAGTTGATAATTTTGTATGTCCCTCAAATGATGTTATAAATATCCAAATGACCCTTGGCAGAAAAAGGGTTCCCCACCCCTGGTTTAGAGTAACACTGGTAATTGACCAGAGCAGAGCAGCTGTGCTAGTTGGTTTCCTTTTTAAAAATGGAGTCATATAATTTTTCAGTGACATTTGGAGACACAACCATAATATAAATAAACCTGTCTACAAAAACATTGCTTGTGCATAAAACAGTTTTATATTGTCAGTTTTGAATGTGAAGGACAGAAGATACCAATAAGTTGAAACTTACTTGAGACCAATTATATATTTGGTTGTTTCACTTTTGGGATGGGGGGGGGGGGGTTAATCCAAATCCTTTGGTAAAAGCACAAATGTAAAAATTATGTTTTCAGCAAACTTTTCATAGTGTTGTTAGTTTCAATAGCATGTGACATTTTTATTTCCATAATGTTCTTACATAATGAGAGATTTTCCTTGATATTTCTTAAATCTCAGAGATTCAGCTAGAATAAATCTTATGATGTTACCGCCACTGTACAAATGTAAAAAGCTTGAGGTATAAGAGGTTACATTTTCACTAAAAAAAAAAAAATGTTTGTGGGTTGTTGTTGTCTTCAGTGAGTTATACCAGTCATCCTAGGAAAGAGAATTATAATTTAAAGGAATGACACTATTGTAAGTATTCATTATGTTATTTTCTTGTGGTTTTAATTCATACTTGTCTGAGCAGTTAGAAAAGGCTGAATCTAGATATTCTAACCAAATGAATAGGCATCTGTCCACACATACTCACACTCACACTTAATATATAAGTCCCAGAATTTAAATAAGTATTAATAATAATCTGAGGCTTTTGCAAAAAGTGTAAAGGTGGCTGTCTTTATTTGTATTTCTAGAGCATTAGCTGCCTTATATTTTTGGGGGGGTTTGTTTTTAAGCTAAGTGAGTACAAAAGTCAAAGATAAATATTCAGTTACATTTAACAAATGTAGAAACTAAAAGCTTCGGAGTAAGACTTGTTAATACAAGAGTAGACTAGACTACATTCAGTATTAGGGACATTTGGATATTGAGATAAAAATGGGGGGGAAAAGTTCCTATGGTCCCTGAGTAAGAGAGCTTACCACCGAAGTTTTCTTCACTTTTAAATACAGAATAAAACTCTATAAAAGATACTTTCAGAAATATGTCAGTTAAATTTTGCTCTCACTATACTTTAGCTCCAGACTTGATTTTAATACACCGTCATTGGGGTGATCATTGCCTATGACAGGGCAAGTCATATAGTAGGTACTCAATAAATATGCCACAGAGCAAAATCATCTAAAGAATCTGCCTATTCAGATTTTCCTTGTGCATAGAATGATTCAAAAGTATTTTGGAATCCCTACAGAATCTATCAATTTGAGTCTGTGGAACAGTACCAAAATGAATTAGAAGTACTGAGTTCTTTTTATAGATGAAAAAAAGTTAAAATATGCATTTCTTATGAAGTATCATAGTTGGGATATGAATGGCCTTCAATGAGTTGACTCACTAAAAAATACTGAGGAACATATTTAGTAGTTCACATGATTTCTATATTTAGCAATCTAAATAGGTGTCAGACATCTTGAAATATTTACATGGCAAATCTCTCAAAACTAAAGTTAAACAGTTCTGTAAACCCCTCACATAGGGGAAAGAGTTAAAATTTTACTAGACATAGTCTCTTGTTTTTAGCCTGCAAATGTAGTAGTTTCTAAAAGCAACGAAGATTCCTATGAATATCACTTTCATGCCTCCAGAGAGTTCTTACTCCTCTGTCAGCTTCCTTGGATGCTCACCCCTCAGAAGGTATTGAATTTTGTAAAAAGTCTAGGATTCAGTGAAAGCCTTATATGTCCAAACCAAACATGAGTTTCTCTAAGTGTCACTTAGAAGAATATGCACACAATCCGCCCTCAGCCACCAAAAAAAAAAAGGAGTACTGATTTTACTTAGAAAAGATTTTTTATTTAATGCAGTGAATGTATAGTCAACATTACCATTGAACTAAACATCTGAAATTTCATAGAATGAAACAAAATTTAGTCATCCATTAATGGTTACTATCCACTAGGTACATCTGGGGTCATAGAATATCAGGCTTGTAGACATTTGAGCAGACACTGTCAGCATGAAATGTAAACCTCACACAAGATATAATCAAAGGTAATTTCAAACAAATTATCCTATCAACAAACTTTCTGTAGTAACATCAACTTCATGGAGTATTGTCTTAGCAACATATAGTGATGGTGTGCGAATATAAGCATGTCGTTACAAACATGATGCACTAAATGGAGCTTATTGAGGTCAAAGCCTTTCTATAGAAAGGGATTTAATTGACAATCTTTCAACCATAGTGTATAAACAGATCAAAATAGTTCTATCATAAGAAATAGTATTTAACAACATAGCTTTAAAATAAAAATACTTTAAAAAATCAGCTCTGATGAGATTAAATTTATTGTTAAAGAATTTAGAGAGAGAGAGATGTTTCTTGCTTCGGCCTTTTCTACAGTTTTCCAACACAACCCCCATCTTCACCCTATCTCAGTCTATTATTAATAAAGTAGTGCAAAACATTCTGTAGCAATTTTAGGCAAGCTTAATCCCCTACCAAGTCAGGGGGGAGTAAGACATACTCACCAAATTATTTCTCTTTCCAGAGGTACACTCACTTGAAGTTAAATAGAAAAACTACCACAAGAGTCTTGGGAATGCAATTTTTAAATATAGATTCTATAGTAAGTAATGAAATCTTTTTAAAGGCAAACTCCCCCTCCCCATACAGTTTTTTTTACAAAATAGGTTTTCATGCATTTATATTTTCAAGAATGATTATTTTTTCTATAAATGAATGTAATGAAACATTGGCATATCACTTAGCACACTGCATTCTCCTCTACATTACAATTCACACTAATAACAAAAATCATAGTATGCATTAAAGATTTCAGTAATCTAATGAGAAAGCACATAACTTTTTTTCTGTGAGAACATGTGAGTATTAAATATTTTTAGATATACAGGGGTATAATCTGACACCAAAAGCAATATGAATTTAGTTTGCTAGTATGTTTACTGAAATTTTGCTAATTTTCTAACTTGATAGAAATTAAAGTAGTGATAGGTATAAAAATTCAGATAGGCATTCATTTATAAACCTGGCAGTATTTATGTGTAATCCTGTAGAGATTTTAAGGTTTTAGATGGAATGATAGAAGGAAAGTTTTCTTTGTAGGATTTCAGAGTATAAGATTCTTTTGAGGGGTGAATATACCTTCACTCATTAGCTTAAAGTCAGCCTAGTCATATCTAAATACTTTGCTCAGGAATAAATGTCAGGATCTGAAATCAGAATTTATGTGAAATTGAAATGCATCTGTTCCATTATTCACGTCTTGGGACTCCCTCCTCCCTTTCAAAAAGTGTAAAACATAGAAAACTGTACTGTACTTTTCAGATAAAAAATAGTCACATGAAAAAAACTTTAACATGTATATAGATTTCATCAGGCAAAACAAAGCATATAATCTAATCTGGTTCTTCCACTCGTAATTAGAGAAGTGTGTGTCTCCCAGTGTTACCATTCTTACATTTGTTGTTCCAGTGTGCTATATTATTAGCCACCACTAACAAGGCTTTCATACAGCAGTAAGTAAACTTTTAATCAAATTGATTCTGTACAATGGAAGTATATTTTCAAAGACATATGCCCTTATACACTATTTACAAATTCTCACGATCATTTTTTAAGAGGTAAAATAAATAAAAAGCAGAAAGAAAGGAAATGCTGCTGAGGCTGGAAGGCTTTTTTATCTTCCCGAGCAGATGCTGGTCTTCTCAGTGCTGGGAGCTAGCTAGCCAAGATTGTTTTTCTTCCTTTTACATGGGCTGTGAGAGGGATCTGGTTTCAATTCTTGGTATTGCACCTGTTTAAACAGAGTTCAGAGAAAGACTGGTCAGGTGGCCACTTTCTGGCAAAGGAAGGAAAGACTGCTTGGAGGAAAAAAGTGCTCACTCTGGAAGCTGTATGAGAGCTGCAGCTGGGATACAGAAAACAATAGAGTGATACAGCAGGAGTCTGAGGGAAGTCCTGCCAGGAGCTGCATGAGAGCCCCGGTGTGACCTCTGGTAACAAACTTGGGTTTTCACTGTCCATAAGACATAACAGTAAAAGCAAAACCATCTCATCTATTCTGAAGGGATGGATAATGGTTCTTTACAGATTACTGTTTAATATAGGTTTAATATCCAGCTCACTCTCATGTCTGATACTAAATAAAAAACTCAACTGGAACAAAGGAAAAAGGTATCACTGTAACCCAGTTTCAAGACTTTGTTAAAAACATTTCTCATGTTACTTTGAAAATAGTTGATTAATGGGTATTGATTAACCTGTAGTGGGTATTGATTAACCTGAAAGGATTTTAAAGAATTGAGATATGCTCCAGTCTTCAAAAAGCCTTCTCCCCCACTCACTGACTTCAAATATGCATCTTTAAAATTCATTCAATTTGTGCGATTGTGCACAGAGGTGTTTTTCTCCAAATGTCCACTGGCACACTTTGCTGTCATCATCTAATATTCCTGTTTCCTCCCTTCAGGTCATGGGGACTTCCCTTCACAGTCTCCAGCTGAACCTTCCTAGTCCCTGACAGCTCTGGTAGGTTCTTGATGCAACCCCTCTCATTCCCCATTCTTCTCTATGAGTTCTGCTAGGTTAGCACCCCAAGTAGGCTAAATTTCTCAACAGCACGATCAGCTATAGGCTTTATTAACTTTACCTGTCTCTTTGAAACCTTTGAAATTAAAAGAATATAAAAGTAAAAACTAATGCTACCCGACATTAAAATAGTAGTAATAATGAAATCTACATACCACTTGTACATCTGAAGGTACTCTAGAAAGGAAGTCAAGCAGTTCATTGTTGTCAATTGCATAGGGACACCGAAGCTTTTTTGTAAATTTATTGATGCCTGAAAAAGTGATAGATGATTGAAATCTCCAAAGTTTGTTGTAGAAAACACATTTCTGGCAAATGTATTAAAGTGATTCGAAGATCTAGATTAAGCTGCCATTTAACCTTGAATGAACCAATAAATCCTACTGGCTTTCTTCCTTCCCTGTACCCTTCCTCTCTCCTTCCCAACCCAATGGATGCTGTTTTTCTCTTTGTATTTTAGTGGCTTCCTTTGCATTTGGGAAACAAAAGCCACCTGGCAAGAATAGTCAATGACCTTCTTTGCTTCTCCCCTCAGTGTTACTGTACGTAGCAGCTTTGCTTTAGTGTCCCATCTATGAAATTGTCTTCCTGCATTTTTGGTTGGGATTGTTTTTAAGGCAAGAAGTCTCATTTATTGATTTTCTCTTTTTCAAAAGATAAAGTGTGTGAGTGGGGGGCGAGGGGGGGGAGGAGGTGTCACTGTTATGCAGGCTAAATGTGTAAAAGACCTTGATTTTATTTCAAAGTTACACTAAATGAGAAAGGATTTATCACCAGCTTTGAAGGTGGTGGTATAAAAGGATCCCGAACTCCCATGAACACACCAGATCTACAGTTGCTTATGGAAAAACTTTCTCTGAAAACTGGCTGAGTGAATACTACACATTGGATGAACAAGAAAAGGCCCACATGGAAACAGGTAGGAGTGTCTGCGGCACAATGTCACAATAAACCCCACCCCCCGGTGCAGCACCTACAGTCTGGAGGGAACTCCAATCCAGAGTCTCTCCCTGAGGAGCATAGGATCTGAACCCCATATCAGGCATCTCCACTTTTTAAAGACTTAGACGTGAGAGAGAAGCCCCCAAACTACCTAGCTTTATTTTCCTTCCAATTTTATTGAGAAGTAATTGACATACTTGACTATATAGGGTTAAGGTGTATAGCATATGAAATGATTATCACAGTAGGCTTACTTAACATCTATCATAGGGCTACAAAGCAAAGAAAGGAAAAATATTTCTTGCTATGAGAACTCTTAGGATCTGTTCTCTTAACAACTTTCCTTTATATAATACAGCAGTGTTACTATATATAGGAAATATGTATAGCATAATACTCCCTAGGTCCATTCATGTTGACTCAAACGGCAAGATTACATTCCTGTTTATGGCTGATTACTATTCCATTATATAGATATGTACCAATAATTTGACTACTGATGGACCCCTAGGTTGCTTTCATGTCTTGACTATTATAAATAATGCTAAAATGAACAGAGGGAGAAAATATATATATATATGTATGTATATGTATATGTATATGTATATTCAAATTAGTGTTTTGGATTTCTTTAGATAAATACCCAGAAGTGGAATAGCTGGATTATATGGTAGCTGTAATTTAATTTTTTGGAGAACCTCCATATTGTTTTCTGTAGTGCCTATACCAATTTACAGTCTCACCAATAGTGTACAAGAGTTCCATTTTCTCCACACCCACACCAGCATTTGTTATTTCTTGTCCTGTTGATAATAGCCATTATTACTGGTGTAAGGTGATATCTCATTGTGGTGTTTTTTGTGTGTGTTTTTAATCTTCACTGAAGGATGTTTTTATTGATTTTGAGAGAGAGACAGAGAGAAACATTGATGGGTTGCTTTTGGTATGTGCCTGGACCGGGAGAACACCCACAATTTTCGGTATATGGGATGACTCTCCAACCAACTGAGCCATTTGTATATCTTCTTTGAGCTAGGACCTGAATAGAAATTTTTCCAAAGAAGACATACAGATGGGCAACAGGAATCTGATCAGGGAAATACAAATCAAAACCAAAATGACACACCTGTTAAAAAAAAAAAGTAAGTGTTGGCAAGGGTGTGGAGAAAAGGGAATCATTGTACACTCTTGGTGGGATTTTAAATTGGTGCAACCACTACAGAAAACAGTATGAAGGTTCCTCAAAAAATTAAAAATAGAACTACAGTATCAACAAGCAATTCCACTTCTGAGTATTTAATTGAATAAAATAAACACTAACTCAAAAATATATATGCACTGCATGTTCATTTAGCCTTATTTGCAATAGCCAAAATAATGGAAACAACCAGTGTCAATCAATGGATGAATGGATAAGGAAAATGTGATATATAACGGAATGTTATTCTGCCATTAAAATAGAACTAAATCTTGCCATTTCCAACTATATGGATGGACCTTGAGGGCATTACATTAAGTGAAATAAGTCAGAGAAAAACAAATACTGTATGATTTCACACATGGAATCTAAAACAAAAATGAGCTCATAGATTCAGAGAACAGATTGGTGGTTACTAGAAGAGGGAATTGGATGATGGGCTAAAGGGGTCATAAGGTACAAAATTCCAGTTATAAATAAGTCATGGGGATTTGATGAATAGCATGGTGACTATTGTTAATAATACTGTAATTGCATTTTTGAAAGTTGTTAAATGTACATTTTAAAAGTTTCCATCACAAGAAAAAAATGTTTCTATCTCTGGCATTGGGATTTTTAGAAACCAGTTTTTCTTTTAAATTACAAGAAGTGTACATTAAATTCTTGCAAAAGATGCTGCCATGATTGACTAACTTGGATCACAACAGCCAAGAATCTACCCATGCTAAATTACTCAATAGTTAATCCTCTGTACTACCTGAAGAGTCAGTGTGGATAAAGGGTCAATGCAGGTGAAATGTCAAAATAATGTATAAAACTTAGAAGTATCTATCCTACATATTCTGTGTGATAATGTAGAATTTCAATACAACAAGTCTGTTTTTAAATTTGTGTTGCACTTAAATTACCAAACATGCATGTAGAAATACATAAGCAACTTGATATGAAAGCAGTGGTCTGCTGAGACCTGGGCCATAAGCTAGAGCATTGTGGCTCTTCTTTAGGGTATGCAGCAGAAGGATTTTCTTCTCTTCCTGTGTCCCCATGTGAGGCCCCTCTGAAACTTCTGGTTAGTACTTCAGCAATCACCTACCACTAAAGGGAATACTGTTGTTTTATTTCAGTGAATGAAACAAGAGGCCCAAACACATTCTCTAAAAATTACATTTAAGACAGCCAGTGGCTCCCAAGTTACAGAGCCAGATGTCTGCCATGGTCTCCAGGTTCCAAGAACCTGGGCAAACGAAACCAGAGGTTCACCACCTATCACAACCTAGATGGCAGGAGTGGCTCTCAGTTGGTTAGAGGTAATAAACTGCCAAATGCTCTACTCTAATTCCTTCACGATAAGAGCATCTGTTTTAAATATCAGAGAAAGGAATGCAAGATGAGGGCTGGAGCATACACTAGGGCAGTGGTCACCAAACTGCGGCTCAGCAAACGGCAGCTCGCGAGCCACATGCGGCTCTTTGGCCCCTTGAGTGTGGCTCTTCCACAAAATACTGACTTCTGTGCATGGGCCACGAAGTTTCAATCGCACTGTACGTGTGTGCCCGCACGTGGTATTTTGTGGAAGAGAGCCAGCCGTGGTTTGCCGACCACGGCACTAGGGAAAAAGAACATGGTGGGAAAAGCCTCTTCCCTAGCATAGTGGAAGTACTGTATTAGGTGCAACTGTTTCTTTAAACTATAGAAATTAAGAAAAGAACAAATAGTCACTATTCCCACTACCCTACTCCCTACCCAAGATACGGAGGTAAGGTTATGGTAAGTGGTAAGAGGGCGTATTCATGATAGGAAAAGAGGCCAAAAACAATAGGGAGAAAGGAATCCTAAAACTGGAGGGCTTAGAGACATCTGACCCCTTCTCCCTTTATTCCAGTATAGTGCATTAAAGCCTTAAAAAGAAAAGAACAAAACATTCTCTTTGGTCTTTTTGTTGTATGAGCACATGTTGTCTGGAGTTAAGGCCCATTTCAGTTCTTTGCATTTTGTATAGGTTTAGCAAGCTTAGGTGTGTGGAGACCAGGGGCAAGTAGAGAATTCTACTTCTACCCAGTCTTGTGTGTGTGCATATGTATATGTATATATATGTATGTATGTATATAATTAATGTCATAGTTTTATATGTTAGTCAATCTTGGAGATTAAGAATTGAATTTTCCAAACCAAGAGTTTTGTCAGATATGGGGTCGGGGGGAGGAACCTCAAAACTATCAAGAATGCTGAAACCTGGTACATGAGAACTGTTGGCATGCGGCATAACTGCATTAAAAATTAGGACCCGAAACTATTTTTAAAGGGGGTTTTTGCAGAAGCATTCTTATTTAGTACACATAAAGCAGGTTTCTTGTTCCTAAGCAGCCTGTCAATGACAGGGACCCTTTTCTGTATCCTACAGGTGACCATATATAGTACCATATTTACAGACACTTCCACAAGACAGAGCACCATAGCACAAAAGCATATTGTCCTGAACGCACCATATGGCTCGAAATGCCTCTGTTTACGTATAAGTGGTGAAAATAAATCAGAGTGATATCTAGACCGAGCTACTCTTTGATATATGAAGAATCTGCACAGCAACCTGTTTATAGTATGATGGAGCCTATGGTGCCAGATAAGAAAAATGCATTTTGCAGGTAGACTTAAATCGTTATACTGTTGTGATTTTTAACCGACCTGTCTCTTTTCATCATGGAGTAGCTTCATGACCATAAATATGCGGAACTACTGACAGTATAATTCATCCCTTAAAAATAGTTTGTTCTTAGCAGCTAAGACAGTAAAAAAAAAAAAGGCTTTACTTACCCCAGACAAGGACAATGTATCTCAGTGGAATGAAGTACAGCACGACTGTGAACACACAGAGGGCCACGATGGCCAGCCAGCTTAGGAATGGGACCGTCCAGTTGAAAGTACTGAATGAAAGGTTAACATTAGCAATCTAGCATTTCTTATTAGGAAGGGATTAGGCCTCAAAAGATATTTAAAGGAATAAGAAATTGTACATGATGTGGATAAATGTTAGTGTTTTTGTTTTAATTTCCTGGTAATGTGGGTTATATTCACTTGGAGTGGGGTTTGTCCTGGGCAGTTTTTGATCTCATAAAGGATGATTATTAAGAGATTTTCTTCCAGTACTGTGTCTCAGCATAACTTAGGAGTTATTCCTTAGTTTTGTAGCATATAGCTTGCTTATTGTATCCTGAAGTCAAATGTTTAATATAAAAAAAAATTTTTTTTTAGTAAAAGAACCAAAGTTGCATCAATCTGATTGTCTTGTTTTCAATTACTTTTAGGGTCTGGCTTTTTGGACTTTGTCATTTTCCTCCCATGGCTAGAGTGAGCAACTTGTAACTTGCCAGGTAAAGAATCATGTCTTCCCTCCCTTACACCTGTGCTTCCCTTGCTTCTGCTGCTTGTAGAGAGAACAGAAGGCTGAGGGTCTGCCTGCTCTCCTGGGGCTCAGCTCAGAGCCATCCATCACACTGTTCCTTATGCAAGGGCACTGGCTCTTCCCTCAGAAAACCCGTCTTCTGGGCAGCTTCACTGAAGGGCTCCCTGTGTTCTTTTTTTCTCCTCTTGGAAGAGTAAGAATCCTTACCAGTGTAGCTAATGTCAGGGGAAACAAGATTGTCCTTTTCCCACAATGCATTATGGAATCTAAATCTAGAATATGATCCCCATTCAAGAAAGTTGTGGAATGAATAACAAAATGCAATTATAGAGACTTCACTTTGTACTTAAAGATTGCTTCTGAAGCTGCTTTCTGAATAGATGCATTATATTCCATGTGACTATAGGGGAATTTCTCTTTTTAATATTCAAAAGATTGTGCAGAGAAGATGGCTGCACCTCAGCCTATACTTATACCTGTATCACTACTGTACCTATGGAAGTTCTATAAAACCCCGTGTACCACAAGGCTGGTCCACAGCCAAGATCTGGTCCTATGCTTCAACTGGCCCTCATGTTTTCCAGCCAGCACCTGTTCTGAGGTCTCTTAGCATCCAGAGAGATAAAGAATCATTTTCCCTCAGGCATTCACTAGCCTGGCCTGAGAGCTGACCCAGGGTTTTCTGGTATCAATGAGATGCTGTCATCAGGTATTAACACCCAGTGTAGCTCAGAAAGGACAACACTCACTCAGTAGGGAAAGCCCCCATTTAGGACTTCACCCTGTGCTTCATGGATAGTGTGTGGAGAACAGGGGAACGTTCTTAGAGATGGAGAAAAAAAAACATTGAGAGGAAGAAGGGAAAAGAAAGAAAGAAAGACGGAATCAATTTTCAGAAGTCTAAGACTGATCGCTCTTCGAGGCACATTTGGGAGTGAGAGGGAGGCTGTTCTGTCTAATGTGACATGAGAATGTGGAAACTCAGCATCTATGCATGTGTGGAAATGTATTAAACAAAAAAATACATGAAATAAGACTCATTATCCCTTGAAACATCAAAGGCACTAAATGAATGACTCAAAGGCACTAAATGAATAACTCAAAACTTTAGTTTAAATAACTTACTCCTCTTCAACTTAGGCCCAAAGAGTCAAATCTGAACACTTTGGGTTATGAGCAGTAAACAATGAGAGGATATATGGAAACTAGGAAAATGTAGGCTTAACTGGATATACAGCACCCCTTCTTGAGTGGGCCAATTTTTATATAGTTCAGTAGTAGTATGAGGCCTTAGTATATTTTTACTGATAATCAATTGTAAATCACCTATTGTTTTTATAATTAAACAGTTGTTTTAAAAAGTAGATTAGTAAAAAAGTATTTCAAGTAAAACACAAGTAATATAAAATTAAGAATGTTTCTTAACTTTACATTAGATATTTTCTTATTCAAAAAAATAAAGGTGATTTTAAAAAATCCACAGAATTAAAAAATTTCTAATGGCTGAGCATTAGTTTATTTCATGTATAATATATTAGCTATATAAATACACAAATTTAAAAGTATATTTTGGTAGGGTGCTATATATAATATCACTTTCAAAAAATTTTAGATTAATTTGAAAATATACCTCAGCCAACAATAAAATGTGTGTCTTCCTTACCCAAAATCCTCATTTTGCTTAGTTTTTTTTTTTTTTTATCATGAGTTGATATTCTGTTTAAGAACAAAGCCTTTCACTGTGAAAATGTGCTAAAATTTAGAATGGTGTTATTTCTCCAAAGCTACAAGTATAATTTCTTTCCAACCAATATGTTCTAAATTTCAGGAAGGAAATTGACAGAACTTTCATAAAACCAAAGACTGACAGAAACAAAGTAAATAATGATGAAACTGAGCAATAGATCATCCAGAAGGAGTGTCCCCTGCCAAAACGAATTAGCATTTCACCCTGAGAAACAAATGGACACTCTGTCTCCACAGAAGGCCGGGCCCACGTGTCAGCATCACTTACTTCTTTATCCTTTCGCCTAAGGAAGCCGCTTCATCTAGGATGTTCTGGACACTGATGCATACCTCCTGGATGGCATAGATTTTATTTATAAACCCCTTCTTTTCACTGTCCTAAAACATAATAAAAAGAGAGGTTCTGTCTGAGTAATGGTATTCTTCAGTGCTTGAATTCTTTGCATTGTCCCTGTCTTAACATTTTTAAACTTAAACTCTATGTCTTCTTACATACAAGGACCCCTTGAGAATCCAGGATATAAAGGGAGGGGAAGGAGGAAGAGTAGCCACTATTGTGGAGCTGTGCTAGTATAAAAGGTAGCTGCAAAGCAGGGCACTCAGACTCTCTTGCTGGTGCCCTGATGAACAGAAAAATGTCAGCCAGGGGGAAAGAAAGTATAAAGGTTTAAGAGATAGGTCATGTCTCAGAATGACCACAACCAGGATCTGTGCTGACCCTGGACCTGCCATGACTCACTACTTAGTAGACCTTGTGTTTTGACCCCACCACCCACACACCTGAGTTTGGTTTTAGCTTCAGATATTTCATCAGCAGAGACTGCTGGGTACAAATTAGAGGACCTGTCAGGAATGAAAACTGCAAACAAAAATGATAAGGTTGCCCAGTCAGTGTGGCTTAGTGGATGAGCTTCGACCTTTGAACCAGGAGGTCATGGTTGATTCCCAGTCAGGGCACATACCCAGGTGCAGGCTCGATCCCCACTGTGGGAAGTCCAGGAGGCAGCCAACCAATAATTCTCTCTCATCATTGATGATTCTCTCTCTCTCTCCCTCCCCTTCTTTGAAATAATAAATATATCCCCCCACACACACTCATGCCCTCACCCACCCCCTCAGTGTCTGTGTCCATTGGTTAGGCTTATATGCATGCATACAAGTCCTTTAGTTGATCTCTCCCCCTTCCCCGCACCCTCCCCTGCCTTCCCTCTGAGGTTTGATCGATGCTTCTCTGTCTCTGGAACTGTTTTTGTTCATCAGTTTATGTTGTTCATTATAGTTTACAAATGAGTGAAATCATGTGATATTTATCTTTCTCTGACTGGCTTATTTTGCTTAGCAAAATGCTCTCCAGTTCCATCCATGCTGTTGCAAATGGTAAGAATTCCTTCTTTTTTACTGAAGCATAGTATTCCATTGTGTAGATGTACCACAAATCCTCATTTTGCTTAGTTTTTTTTTTTTTTTATCATGAGTTGATATTCTGTTTAAGAACAAAGCCTTTCACTGTGAAAATGTGCTAAAATTTAGAATGGTGTTATTTCTCCAAAGCTACAAGTATAATTTCTTTCCAACCAATATGTTCTAAATTTCAGGAAGGAAATTGACAGAACTTTCATAAAACCAAAGACTGACAGAAACAAAGTAAATAATGATGAAACTGAGCAATAGATCATCCAGAAGGAGTGTCCCCTGCCAAAACGAATTAGCATTTCACCCTGAGAAACAAATGGACACTCTGTCTCCACAGAAGGCCGGGCCCACGTGTCAGCATTACTTACTTCTTTATCCTTTCGCCTAAGGAAGCCGCTTCATCTAGGATGTTCTGGACACTGATGCATACCTCCTGGATGGCATAGATTTTATTTATAAACCCCTTCTTTTCACTGTCCTAAAACATAATAAAAAGAGAGGTTCTGTCTGAGTAATGGTATTCTTCAGTGCTTGAATTCTTTGCATTGTCCCTGTCTTAACATTTTTAAACTTAAACTCTATGTCTTCTTACATACAAGGACCCCTTGAGAATCCAGGATATAAAGGGAGGGGAAGGAGGAAGAGTAGCCACTATTGTGGAGCTGTGCTAGTATAAAAGGTAGCTGCAAAGCAGGGCACTCAGACTCTCTTGCTGGTGCCCTGATGAACAGAAAAATGTCAGCCAGGGGGAAAGAAAGTATAAAGGTTTAAGAGATAGGTCATGTCTCAGAATGACCACAACCAGGATCTGTGCTGACCCTGGACCTGCCATGACTCACTACTTAGTAGACCTTGTGTTTTGACCCCACCACCCACACACCTGAGTTTGGTTTTAGCTTCAGATATTTCATCAGCAGAGACTGCTGGGTACAAATTAGAGGACCTGTCAGGAATGAAAACTGCAAAACAAAAATGAAAGGTTGCCCAGTCAGTGTGGCTTAGTGGATGAGCTTCGACCTTTGAACCAGGAGGTCATGGTTGATTCCCAGTCAGGGCACATACCCAGGTGCAGGCTCGATCCCCACTGTGGGAAGTCCAGGAGGCAGCCAACCAATAATTCTCTCTCATCATTGATGATTCTCTCTCTCTCTCCCTCCCCTTCTTTGAAATAATAAATATATCCCCCCACACACACTCATGCCCTCACCCACCCCCTCAGTGTCTGTGTCCATTGGTTAGGCTTATATGCATGCATACAAGTCCTTTAGTTGATCTCTCCCCCTTCCCCGCACCCTCCCCTGCCTTCCCTCTGAGGTTT